TGACATATGAAAATCAGCTACGACCATAAAAACTGCTCCCTCACATCCATTTCATCTAATGCACTTTCTAGTTTGGGGTTAAGTGAACTTTTATGACGATTGGCCCAAGACCATAAAAGCTGCTCCCTCTCATCCATTTCATGTATAGTACCTTCTAATTAAGCAAACTTTTACAAGTAATGATATCATACATCTTTCACAAGATTCAAGAATTCAAATTAAATAGGAAGCAACGCAAGTTTGGAAGTAATCTCCTATACCTGAGTCTGGTAGTTCCAGATGCAAAGAGTCCCCGAATATAAACTTGCCAGTATCCTGTGAGCAGACATAGCATGAATGAGCCACAAGAACTAGACTTATAGTGAAAAGGTAAACTAAACGGCATGGCACTCCGAATCAAAACAAATTGCTTTAAGTAATGACATCAACGTCCTACTAACCCCCCACCNTCTACAATACAACATTAGAAACTACTTAGCAAGCATAGGCATTAAAACTGAAAAAATAAAAAATAAATAAATTAGAATGTTTGGTAAACAAAAATTCAATTACCATGGCTCCGTAGGATGTAGATCCACGGCCTTTACCCTTTCTGATCTTTGAGCAAGTTTCCTCTGATCAAATTACCACAGTCATCACAGTATGTATCGATAATACAAAAATGTAAGCAAAAATATAAACAACCGGTAATTTATTGAATTTGAATAAAGTATAGTACCTTAATCTCCAACCTTAGAGGCTGTGCCATTGCAAATTCGAGATTGGAAAAAAAAAACACAGAAAGGGAGTGAAATTAAGTTAGTAAACAACAAAGTACCAGATCTCAAATAATTCGTCAACCTGACATTCAAATTATAGTCGAGGAATTAGCCAAGTCACGTGACTAATGGGACACAAATGTAGTTCTCGATACAGTGATCCGTTGCCGCCATTAAATCAAATCAGATTTGGATCAGATCTAAGTTGTAACGTAATGCGAAAGCATTAAGGAAATACTGAAATTAATGGACTTACCATTTTAACAGATGAATGCGGAACTTAGCTGAAAAGGGAATAAATCAGAGAATTGTGTATGAATTATCCTAAAGATCCACTAGCTACTCAGCTAAGTGGAAAGTGCCAGAAAACAGACGAAAGGGAGATCGAAAGAGAGAGAAAGTGCGTAGAGGTTTTGCTAATGTCACAGCACAACCTCTGTAAGAAGAAGACGAAGAAGAAGAAGAAGAAAATGGGACGAAGGTAGGGAAAATCATGTGTAGATGATGCTTTGAATTGAAGTTACAATACAATGACAAATTTTTACATGGACTTTTTTTCATTTTTCTTTTCCCCTTTGTTTCTCCTTTTCCTCGGAGCATATTCATTTTTGGAAAATCCGAAAATATCTATTTTAAAATATTAGTAAAACTCATATATATCTATCTTCTATCTATATTATATTAAAAATATAAAGACCCTCAGCGAAATGTCATTCGACTTTTTTACCCTTTTAAAATAAAGTTCATACTTGACAAAATAGTCTTTCAATTATTTTCCTAATAGTTATAAATATTATTTAATTATTTTCCTATATTTAGGAATAAAGATTTAATTAGTTTCCTACTATTTAGGAATAGTCATTTAATTAGTTCTCTATTATTTAGGAGCAGTCATTTAATTATTTCCTAATATTTATAACTTTTATGTTTTAATACCTTTATGTTCTAGAATTTCAAGTACATTGAATTTGCACTGTGAAAGTTTTGTTCATGTTCAAGTTCATTCATACGTTGGAGTATCAAATTTTAGGTTTAGAAGGGTCTTTTTTAGTTAATAAAATTTTGACATATTATTCACAAGCAGCTCAATTTGACATATTATTCAAATTTCAAGTTCATTCATACGTTGTACTCCTCTTAGGTTTAGTAAAAAACAAAACACTTTCAACTTCTTTTTGATTTAGGAGTCTTTATTTTTTTTAATAATATTTTCTTTGTCTATTTGAAATATACACAATTAAACCTTATTTGAATTATATAAGTGACTACTTCTATTAAAGAAACTATTATTCCATATTTTATTATCAAAACTTTGTGTTGTTCGAGTATTGAGCAAAAAGATTTTGTATTAGTAGTTGAATTTTGAATTCACGTATTTGTATTAGTAGTTGAATTCATTCACAGACTAATTTGAATTTTGCATTCACGTATATTATTTATATTATTTTTAAAAGTTTATTCTTATTAATACGAGGGTCAGGCGCTATATTAAAAGCATGAAGCCCCTTAACGAAATATCGTTCGTCTTTTTTACCCTATAAAAATAAGTTTCACACTAGACAAATTAGTCATTTAATGCTTTGATAATATTTAGGAGTAATTGTTTCCTTATTTTAACTACTTTGTAAGAATTTCTATATAAGATCTAAAATTTTTACCTTATAATTTTATTTTCTTGTTTGAACTATGTAATATAAATATAATATTATTTGAAAATTTAGATGGGAGAGCATTCTCGCCTATGTTCCTCGATGAAGTATCTATTTTTTTTAATAACTCTTATGTAGTTATTTCAAAATTTAAAGCTTAATTTGGTAGGTTTTAGTGTTCCCTAAAAAGGATGCAATATCAAAAAAATAAAAGACTGAAAAAATAGGCAAAGTTGTTTCTGACAAGAAAAATCCCACAAAAATTGATTCTTAGGCCTTTTGTCATTATATTTTAAATTTTTAACCACATAAGAACAATTTTTTCCCTCTATTTTTCTTTCGTATAACCTATTCACTGTTAGTAAAACTCAATTTGCAAGTGTTTTTTTTAAAGTTTGATTGATAATTACTTATGACTATTCTTGAAATTTGATTCCGTAAGTGTTTCGACAATATTTTTTAGATAGTATCTATTACTCCTATTAGGTTTACAAATTGTAGTTATTTTCATAAAATTAATTTGTAAGTGTTTCTTTAAATTGAAAGCTTAATCGATAATTTATATTCTTTCTTGCTTGGATTTTTGAAGACACTGCACCTCTTTCATCTTTATTTCATTACTCAAATAATTTATAATAAAATATTTATGTAATTTTTTAACATCTTATACTTCTTGAGATAGGGTACACGCGCGTACGCTTAGACTAGTACTATATTAAAAGCACGAATGCTCTTAGCGAAATGTCGTTCATTTTTTTTACAAGATAAATAGAATTCACACTAGATAAAATAAATATTTAATTATTTTCCTTATATTTAGGACTTCGAATCAATTAATATATTATTTAATAATTTTTCCTAATATTTAGGATTCAGAATCAATTAATATGTTTCTTTTTTATTTAGGTTAGGTATCTTAGGAATGTATTTTTACCTTTTTTTTTTACTTAGTAATTTTAGGAACGTTTTTATACATATACATTCTTGAATTATTTCTTTATATATCCAACACTTTGTATATAAAAGCACAAATTATTCCTCCGTAGAGTAATTCCATGTTGAATCTTACGACTTCAAAAATCAACGAAAAAATTCTTTAAGTTCGTAACCCAAATTAAATTCCACAACGACTAATAAATGTAATAAAAATATTCTACAATATTATTTTAATTTAACAAGGATCTGTTAAATTTACAGTAATTGAAAGACTTTCAGGTATCAACTGTGATGAGATTAAAACTTATTCCAAAGATTGATTCCTTTTGGAATACTACCACAAATTATTAAATATTAAATGGAAGTTACGACTATTGTTATTTTGATATGTTGTGTATTAGGCTCTTGACATGTCTTCGGCAAAGATGATAATTTCATCTTCAGCTCATACAAATATTTTTCACAGAAATTTATAAAGAATTATGATCGAGGAATCCATATCCTTAATGTAAAGATGAAACTATATCGACGACCTAACTTATAGTTACATCTATGGTTACATCGAAAGAACACCCAACTTTTCTTTATTATATTAAAAGCTAGAAGTCTTAGCGAAAATATCGTTCATATTTTTATCTTCTAAAATTAAGATCCGCAAACATTAAAATTCAAAAATAAAATATTGATAATTTTATTACCATTTAAAAATAGAATATTATTAGATAAAATTATAATTACTAAATATTTGAAATTTGGTATGAGCTAGGATTAACAATTCGAATCAACAAGAAAATAAAATATTTTCTTATGTGTGAATAAATAATTACATGTCTGAATTAACTATTAATGAAATAATTCAATTTAATTCATTTACACATTTATCATATAAATAAAATTATTTTCATATATCACATAATATGTACATAAATTATGCCTTTAACAACTTGTTTGGATGGTCGTTACCTATTGTATTGTATCGTATTGTTACTTTAAATACGATATTTATTTTATTGGTTGTTACTTAAATTTTATTGTATCGTATCGTTAAATTCGTCGTTACGTAACGACGAAATGTGCCACTTTATGCAACGACCGATTTGGTGTGGTTGCGTCGTTATCTTGTCTTTTTCTCTCATCTCACCCTTCACTATTATTAAATTATTTTATTTTATCATTTACCCTACCTTTTTATATAATAAATTTACCCTGTATCGTAAATTTTTTTTATAATATTGCAAATTTATTCTTCATATTGGCGGAGCATGATATCATGAAACAACAACAAACGATACAATCTATCCAAACATTGTATTCATCAAACGATACAGTACAATACAATATAATACAATACAATACAATACAATACACTATGAAACGATGTGTGACAACCATCCAAACAAGCTGTAAGAAGAGAATCGGCAACAAAAGAAATCAAAAAAATGAGAGAAAAATTGGTTATAATATAATATTAAGAATCAAATTAATTAAATTACTATTAATTTAACTATTCTTCACTTATTTGACACTTTTTAAAGCTTTTATGTATAACACAAATGTAATATTTTATATAATATTTGCATAATTTTTAAGAAGTTATATTTATTGAGTTAGATATACGCGCAACGCGCGTAACCTAAGACTAGTTCGAGAAAAAATAGTTACAAAATGAATATGAATAGCAAGGGTATATAATTATGTGAATTGTATACTCGAAGGTATAACACATACAAAATTGTACTATTGTTCTAATGAGAGAATTTTGTAAATGGGTACAGTTATATTTTAAAAGTTATGTAAAAACTTCTTGTTTTCTTAAAAGAACTTACTTATGTATATTTATTGTTTATACTGATTCAATCAATAAATGAGCTTTTGTATATATCTAGCATTGAACTATAATAGCTTAATATATTACTTAATCATAATTAACTAATATTATTTTCGTGTAAAGATAAGAGTGTGATTAACTGTTTTCCTCACTTTTCTAGTCCAAAGGTCATATGAGTGACCAAAATACAACAATCACATTTTAATATAACGAGTTTGAATGTTATTTTGTAATGTTGTTTGAATTTTCTTTATCCTTGTTATTTATGTCCTATGTATAAAACATTGTTTGAGCTATATGTGATATAGTCATTTATTTTTTCCTTAGAATATGGGATTATGTATATAAATACTTAAAAAGCCACCTACAGACGCTTTATGTCCAATCATTCCGGATAACGCTTGCTTCCTCTGTATTACCGCGGCTGCTGGCATAGAGTTAGCGACGCTTATTCCCCAGATACCGTCATTGCTTCTTCTCCGGGAAAAGAAATTCACGACCCGTGGGCCTTCTACAGTTCTACCTCCACGTGGCATTGCTCTGTTAGGCTTTCGCCCACTGCGAAAAATTCCCCACTGTTGCCTCTCGTAGGAGTCTGGGCCGTGTCCCAGACCCAGTGTGGCTGATCATCCTCTCGGACCAGCTACTGATCATCGCCTTGGTAAGCTATTGNATTATTAGAGTGGAATATGGACCTTTATATTCAAGCTAATAGCCTGTGTGAACAAAACTCACTTCGGTTTCTAATGTTACTAACTTGATACTTTAACTAACTCGTAGTATTTGTTATGAATTTTTTGATGGAACACAACAAATTTGTGAAAATATTTCTATAACTAACTTTATTTTCTTTTACCAGCTTTTGTCTCATCAAGGACATGTGCTAGTTTTTTTCTTTTTCATGAAAGGACATATGCAATTGGTTTACACACCCAATTTATAGCAACAAAAACAAAATTTTTTTTTTTTTAATGATTTTTAGCAAGAATAAAAGAGGTGAATTGGATTAACAAAATAAATCACCAAATACTAAAATGGTAAATGTGTTCATATAGAAAAGCACAACACCAACGACTTAAAAAAAGTAGAAAGGACACAAATAATAGAGGCAGTG